AGGGCCAAGGGTCTTTTGTCAGGACAAAGCCTATCAGAGGGTCTTCTGTCAGGAGGTCTTCTGTCAATCGATTAATCTAAGAAACTTTACAAGGAAAATTTCTAATACATTAAATCTAAAGAGGGGGTACTCTAAAGTCCTAATTAATATAGCATCATCAAAATCTAATTACAATTATTTCTTACACTTGCAATGTCATCTATCCACAGAATGCGTTTCTTCTCTTCATGATTGAGATAGATGAATGAGATTGGATTTTCAAAAATGGTGTACGGTGGAAAATATTCGAGTTCCGGTCCATGTAGGATTGGCTTTGTATGATTTGTTCTGGTGATATTGTTCTCGAGAGCCATCTGAAGATCATGAGTGGCATGAACTCTGACTTGCCTCAGCATAAAGCGTCTTATTGCTTCGTATCCTTCTTTGAGGACTTTATTCTTTCTTATTGACAGGTTCCTGTAGGCCATGGACATTTGGTAGATATCGTCCATTTTGAGTAGAAAGAAGTCATTCTCCTTATAGGTGAACTCTGTGCCATCAGTTCTCTGTAATCGATAAATCGAATACTTTATTCCATGATGATATCCTCTGGACACATTCAAAATATCCTAAATAGGGCATTTGCTCATTTTCAGATCATCTTCCAGAATCTGGCGTTGTAAGCCTGTTGAACGATGATATAGCATATGAAGATGTCCGCCGACTTGTTCACCTTTTAGATGGGTAAGACCTCGGATTTCCATTTGGAAGGGGGCAGTGATGTTGATGTTCCCCCATGGTTTTTCATTTCTGGGCAAGAGCGCTCATGTTCTTCTGATGACGAAGGGTAGCTCTGCTGGAGTTTTCTTGTAGTCTTCCCTTTCCTCGAGTTCATCTTCCTCAAGCCCTATCAGATCTTCAGCGCACTTTTTCAGCAAGTCTCTGAGATAGACTCCTCTTTGCATTTCGTATTGCTCGACCTCTTGTCTGATGTCGTCCCATTCCGTCCATTCTCCGTTCCATCTTTCATCTATAATGATGTCTTCTAGTTGATTGTAGATGGACGGGCTTTGTTCTTCAGAGGGAGCCTTCTGCTGTGTTGCTTCGTGAGAGGTAGAGCCGGGATCACAACGATTGCCTGTTGTCATCAGTCTAGAACTAGGTTCTTCCTGATGGCCTGAATAGAATGGTGTACTCGAAGTAGTAACCTAAGGACTTCCACTCCATCCTTGGTCAATATCTCTGAGAGATATGCCTCAGAGTGTTTTGTCTAGCTCGACCATGCTAGAGATATGTAGGTTTGCGGCTTGGCTATTGTGTTGAGTGGATGATGGGGGCTGGTTGTTTGAGGATTCAGCTTGGGATTCATGTGGGGGTTGTTGGCTAGTTGATTCTCCATGCTCGAGTGACCATTGCCTCTTGTTCTCCCCCTCATGAGGATCCGAATCATCGGGGTCCTCATGTGAACGTTTGTGACTACGGAGACTGTCACAGCATGTGCTATCGGTTTCTAAGAATACTCGAAGAAGGGCTTGTTGTCTAGGGGTTCGGTTGCCTTCTTCGGTTGCTAGAATTCTTGCTAGCATAATAGATTAGAGTTCCTCGAAATGAATAATGTAAGGGTTAGGGTAAGTTGTGGTCGTTGTAGGGGAGGACACACCTTCTGTATCCTGGGTTCCCCTTGAGGTGGTAGGTATTGGGGGTTGTGTGGTTGAGGGTTCAAATGTTTGAAGGGTATGTATGGGGGTAAGTTGTTGTTGGGAGTGGGATGTTGATGGTTGTGGTTGGGTAGTGTCATTCTGAAGCACCGGGGTGTTCCTGAATTCCTGTGCCCGAGCGGATATTGCTTCGTGCACCCATGGCTTAATGGTGGAATCCATGAAATGCTGTAGAATGACAGAAAGGTCGGTGGGTTCGGGCTGTCCGGTTACAGAGGTAGTAACCATTGTCACAACATTAGTAAAGATTACCGAAGTGTGGCCTACAGATAATGATTGAGTTATCTGTTGAGCAGCAGGACTTCCGATCATCATTGATGTATCTCCGATCGTTGTTGACAGATAAAGTGGACCTGTAGAATGAGGTGGTGTGAGAAGTGTATGTGTCATAGAAAACTTTGAAAATGTAGGGAGTGTGGCACCTAGACACATCGTGTTTGAAGAAGGGGTAGTGGCCCGGGGCGATTGACCACTATATAATTCCTCAACTGCGTCGTAGGGAGGCAGAGAGGTGGGTGTAGTATCCCCTATTTGTGAAACTACTACCTATTGAGAGGCAGCAGAGTGGCTAGGTTGGGCTTGTGCATGCATAGTTGGGCTAGATGTTGCGGCTTCTACCCCGAAACCGAAAATATCAGTCTCAGCTCCTATGGGGTTAGCCTGGTTTATTTCTTCTAGGTCAGAACAGCTATCAAATAAGGCCATTTCTTCAGCAATGTTGTTGGCCGTTTGCACTCTTTGAGAAGGAACTGATGATGAGGAGGAGTTATCGTGACGTACCTTAGAACGAGTCTCACTGATGGTTTGTCCTTCAGTGTTTTTGATTTGGTGAGACTCCTCTTTGTTAGTAGCCCTAGAAAGCCTGATGATGAGTCGTCCTTTTTGTGCGGGGGCTTTCTTGGCTTTGCATGCGTTGTCATTCGCATCATCGTCATCCTCATCACCTTCATCGTTGTCGCTCTCATCAGCCTTGCTCCCAGAGTCCTCATCATCAGCGTCTTTTGTTCTAGCTACACTTGATGAATCATGGGTAGTCTCTTCAGCATGGGTGTGGCCCTCAGCAGACGTAATCTGATCATCATGGGGCCAACTTGCCACTGGTCCCTGTGGCCGGGTTGAACTCTCGGGACCCTCACTTACTCTCGGCTGACTCCCTGGGGTAGGCTCAGGGGGGTTTATCTGAGCCATAGGGAGTATGATGTTGTTATCTTCACAGTAGCGTCGGACAAATGGATCATTCGAATCGGCTAACTGTAGAAGAGCCACTGGTATTGTCATGGGAACCAGTGTGGAAGCGCCGGTTATTTTCTTGAGGTGTTGGACGGACGGAATGTAAACTTTTCCTTTGAGAGTCTCCGGTGGATTGTCGGTGTAGTCCGGGAGAGATATCGTATGATCATGGAGAACCATCTCATGTAAGGAAGATGTTTCATCTGGTCCGTCTTCGTCCTCTTTCTGACTAGCTCAAAAATTTCGTCCCATATCAGCGAGACGTAGTCGTAGTTTTTCATGAAAGCGATACCGTGGAAGATGGTCAGAAGGTAGATGCTGCATTTGTGAGAATTGCGAGCATCGTCCTCCATGGTCTTGGTAAGCGTCCCAGTTTAACATCAGAAATGAGCTTTATTGGTTGAGCGTGGCCTAGCTTGATCATATCAGCCATTTAGAATGATGACAACAACCTCATCTTGACACGAGAACACTTCCGGGTTCAGTTTTGTGTTGTTCTCTTTGATCGGGTACCAGCTCGCCCTTGAGTAGATCTGACTGATTTTGGGAACAACTGCAATTTCGATCTGAAAATGATAAGTAGATTACAACATTTGATCAAAATGGTTGCTAAGTCCACAACTTAAGCTCTTATTTGGGCCTTTTGTCGTATTTTTTATAATTGGGGCCCTTTGTGTTTTTTGTTTTTGTTTATTTATTTTTTTGTGTTTTTGTTTTTTTAATAAAAAGTGGACCCTTTGTTTTTTTATTTGTTTATTTGGGCCCACATTGACTTTGGTTTAAGATTTAGGAGGTTCCTGGGCCGGGTCTTAGAAATTTGGCCCATCCTAAACATTCGTTATCACACTTGGAGAAATGTGGACCATGATTGCACATGGGCCCAAGGTATTGTGCTCCTCCTTAATCGCGCATCAGTTCCTTTTCGCGCAGGGTCGAAAATAGCGCATAGTGCCAAATCTCTTCTAGAGAATGGCACATGACATGGAAACGCGCATTGCTGAATGTCGCATGACTATTGCACATTAGGGTATAGTGCAGGGCTTGATTTTGCGCATGATAATCGCGCTTCGAGAATCGCGCATGAAGAATTGCGCATCAAATTCGCGCATGAGTGAAAATCCATGTTCGTCGTCTTCACGAGATACACATGTGAAACATTCATATTGAAACATATATGATATGGAGTATTTACCCTTTGATTCTGAGATGAGCGAAAACCTTGAAAGCCAAAGGGGAGATGAGCGATTTTGATTGAGAGGGGAGAGAAGTTCGAAAGTCTTTAGCGCAAGAGTGAGAGTGAAGAGGAGGAGATGCGTGAATTGAGGGTTTAAATAGCTAGGCCCGGGAACAAAAGGTTAACAGGCCCAGACTTATCAGTTCTCCCCCTTCTTTCTTTTTCTTGTTGATTTAATTGTCCCCCCTCAACACTTGTGTAATACCCGAGATTAATTTAAGAGGATTAATAGTACTACTCATACCAACAAGGTGCATCTCCTTTTAAGGGAGCTCATTAGCCAAGAAATGGTATCAGAGCAACCCTGCGACACGAGTGAGGACAAAGTGCGCGGAAAAGGCTAGTGGCGGTCTGTGAGGACAGTACTAGAGGTCAGAAGTAACTACCTCGGGGCCTACGGGGCCGGGGTGTTACAAATGGTATCAGAGCAACCCTGCGACAGTGTGTTGACCCGTTAGATATGAGGCAGGCACTTAGCGGGGCAAGATTCTGGGGTTTGATTGAGAGTGTTAAGGGCGCAACGAGGACGTTGCGATCCTAAGTGGGGGTGATTGTAATACCCGAGATTAATTTAAGAGGATTAATAGTACTACTCATACCAACAAGGTGCATCTCCTTTTAAGGGAGCTCATTAGCCAAGAACTCCAAAGTTAAGCGTGCTTGCACGGGATTAGTCTTGGGATGGGTGACCCCCTGGGAAGTTTCTCAGGGTGCGCACGAGTGAGGACAAAGTGCGCGGAAAAGTCTAGTGGCGGTCTGTGAGGACAGTACTAGAGGTCAGAAGTAACTACCTCGGGGCCTACGGGGCCGGGGTGTTACAACTTGCTCCCCTTTTGATAATAAATATATATGAGCTCCCCCTCAATTCATGCATGACTTTGAAAAAAATCCCCCCCTTGTGAATTCTCATCCAGGGCCTTTGTGAATATGTCAGGCAGTTGCAATTCCGTGGACACAGAGTACATGTCCACGGTTCCCTTCTCAACGTGATGCTTGATGAAATGATATCTGAGGTCAACATGCTTCGTCCGTGAGTGATGGACAGGATGCCACGTGATGGCAATTGCACTTTGAGAGTCGCTATAGATCGGGATGTGTGAGAATGTGAACCCGTAATCTTTCTGCTGGGTCCTCATGCAAAGTATTTGTGAATAGCAACTAGCAGCCGTGACATATTCTGCCTCAGTTGTAGAAGTGGACACACAATTCTGCTTTTTAGAAGACCAGCACACCAACTTTTCACCAAGAAATTGAGCACCGCCGGATGTACCTTTTCTGTCCAGTTTGCAACCCGCAAAATCAGCATCTGTGTACCCCACTAGGTCAAAACCAGATTCTTTAGGATACCAGAGGCCCGGTGTAACACCCCGGCCCCGTAGGCCCCGAGGTAGTTACTTCTGACCTCTAGTATTGTCCTCACAAACCGCTACTAGCCTTTTCCGCGCACTTTGTCCTCACTCGTGCGCGCCCTGAGAAACTTCCCAGGGGGTCACCCATCCCAAGACTACTCCCGTGCAAGCACGCTTAACTTTAGAGTTCTTGGCTAATGAGCTCCCTTAAAAGGAGATGCACCTTGTTGGTATGAGTAGTACTATTAATCCTCTTAAATTAATCTCGGGTATTACAATCACCCCCACTTAGGATCGCAACGTCCTCGTTGCGCCCTTAACACTCTCAATCAAACCCCAGAATCCTGCCCCGCTAAGTGCCTGCCCGATATCTAACGGGTCAACACACTGTCGCAGGGTTGCTCAGATACCATTTGTAACACCCCGGCCCCGTAGGCCCCGAGGTAGTTACTTCTGACCTCTAGTACTGTCCTCACAAACCGCCACTAGCCTTTTCCGCGCACTTTGTCCTCACTCGTGCGCGCCCTGAGAAACTTCCCAGGGGGTCACCCATCCCAAGACTACTCCCGTGCAAGCACGCTTAACTTTAGAGTTCTTGGCTAATGAGCTCCCTTAAAAGGAGATGCACCTTGTTGGTATGAGTAGTACTATTAATCCTCTTAAATTAATCTCGGGTATTACACCCGGATTAAGTGTTCCTTTCAGATATTTCAGTATTCTTTTCACTGCATTTAGATGTGATTCCTTAGGATTTGCTTGGAATCGTGCACAGAGACAGGTTGCAAAGACAATGTCCGGTCTGCTAGATGTGAGATACAGCAAGGAACCGATGATAGCCCGATAATTGGTAGCATCGACTGATTTCCAGGAAGGGTCAGAGTTGAGATTTTGTGAGGGAGACATGGGGGTTTTCATCGTTGACTTGATGTCCATTTTGAAGCGCTTGAGCATGTCGTGGATGTATTTGGACTGGTCGATGAATATACCGTCTGGCATTTGCTTGATCTGAAACCCGAGAAAGAAGTTCAACTCTCCCATCATACTCATTTCAAACTTGGTGCGCATCGGATTGCTGAACTTTTGACAGAAATTTGGATTTGACGAGGCAAAAATGATGTCGTCCACATAAATCTGTATCAGCATGATGCCACCCTTGTGTCGCTTGATAAAGAGAGTTGGGTCAATCTTTACTTTCGAGAAGCCTGATTCCACAAGAAAATCTGATAATGCTTCGTATCAGGCTCTCGGTGCCTGTTTCAGTCCATATAGGGCTTTTCTCAGCTTATACACATGATTTGGGCGTTCAGGATCCACAAAGCCTTCTGGTTATGCAACAAAAACTTCTTCTTTCAGCTCACCATTGAGAAACGCAGTCTTGACATCCATTTGATATATGGTGAAACTTTTGTGTGCAGCGTATGTAAGGAACAATCTTATGGCCTCAATTCTCGCCACTGGTGCAAAGGTCTCGTCATAGTCAATCCCTTCTTGTTGGTTGTATCCTTTTGCTACCAGACGGGCATTGTTCCTGATTATCACACCGTCTTCATCTTTCTTGTTTTTGAATACCCATTTGGTGCCGATGATGGTTTTTCTGTACGGCCACGGCACCAGGGTCCATACCTTCAATATTTCAAATTGGTTCGTCTCTTCTTGCATTGCAACAATCCAGTCCGGATTAACCAATGCTTCAGTCATCTTTGTAGGTTCTTTCTGACTCAGAAAACATGAGTATAAGCATTCATTGACTGATGCGGCTCTGGTACTAACTCCTTTTGATGGATCACCGATTATCAGCTCTGGCGGATGTTCTTTCGTCCACCTTCTCTCATGAGGAAGAGGTAGTGGAGTTATGACTGGTTTGATCAGGGTCGGTATATTCGTTGCTTTGTTGTGTCTCGGGAGTTTCTTGTGCTATAGATTGCTCTGGTTGATCAGTTTGAGAAGTAGAGGGATCAGATGGGGTTTGTTCATGTGCATGCTCATTATCATTCTGAACAGGAGTATGTGATTCTTCTGCCGTGGGAGCAGGCAACAGGTAAGGCTGAGCAATTTTAGAAGTAGTAGATGGTGATGCACGTGGCTGGCAGTAGAAGTGCTCAAATAAAGAGTCCAGTATCACGTGCTCATCCGATCTTCTCTCTCTTTCATGTTCCCCTATTCCAGAAGATGAATGAGTATGGTTTTCTTCAGAAAATGTTGGTTCAAATTGGAAATGCTCAGAAGCCATGTCCGCCATTTCATAGAAGCTCACATTGATGCTCTCCATGACGGTTCTTCTATCTTTCATGTAACACCGACCCCGAGCATATTTACTTTTAGTAAATTATGTAATAAACCTTGAAGAATGATTTAAGAAATTGCGTGATTGTAAATTTTTACTATTTCTTTTACGTGAATAGTAAATTGCATGTGGGACCCACAGCGGGAACGGGGACCGCCCGATAATTCCCGAACCACATATTATATTCATCTTGGTCTAGATAATATGTATATGGTGGTGGATATTTTATTTGGGCCATAAGAAAGGCATGGAGTTGACCGGTTGGTCAAACGGGACCCAATTACCGGTATTGGTAATTTAACGGATAACAACCCGAAATGAGTTTCGGAGGCTTCTAAATTAATGTTGGGGAATGTACATCTATTCTAAAGGCCCAAAATTATTAGGATCACGTGATATATTTTATTTGGCCCGATAAAATGAAATATGACTAAAATAGTCCGAAAAACACAACTTTCGGGGCCGATTATACACACCGGTACATAATGGGATGACCTCCCACATAAGTGGGGGCCACCCCACGTTTTTATGGGTGCTGAATGACCAGAGTAATGGGAATGGGACATCCCAACATGACTTGTGCGGACAAGAAGAAGGGAGGGGAGCTTCCTAGAGACAAAGTTGCACCCTCATGACCCCATCACCAAATTATTTTGGGTGATTGAATAGGTGATCCCTCCCCCCTATCCTTGAGTCATTCGGCCAGAACAAAGTAGGAGAAGCCCAAGGGAAATCAAAGCTCTAGTTGGAGGAAGAGGGAAGCTAGGAAAATCCACAAGAAATAGCTTGAGTTTAAGGTAAGAACATAACTATTGTTCTTTAACTAGTTTTATGGTGTATGATTTTTAAGAAATCATATGGTGGATTAAATCATGAGTTCTACACGTTTAAAAGTGTAGAATATTGATATAAAGTGGTGGTAATTAACTTGGGAGGGTTGGCCAATCGATAGGAGTCGAAACCGCCGGAAACCACCACTTCAAAGGAGCTAGTCGTAGTTGCAGACCACGAAAGCCGCCCGGCTTTTGCCCAGCAGGTCAGTTTTACACCTCCAATCGGCCTAGAACGGGGATTGATCGAGGGGCTTGGCAAAGGCAACTATTTCAGCACTTCATAAGGTGAGGATGGCTGACTATATTGCTTATAATTAGTGGGTTAATTTCATAAGATTGCCTAAAGTATTTAGATGGGATTTTTCATGGATTATTAATGATTAATAATGCCTAAATGAAAATAATATTGATATGAGTGAGTGAAGCATGATATACAAATTGAGAACAATTATGTATGATTATGTGAAATGAATGGAACGGCATGTTAATGAAATTACTATGATGACATTGTGATAAAACATACTTTTACTTCATGTATGAAATCCATGAATGGTTAAAAGTGATAGTTTTGATATTTGGATTAAATTATATTTGGATTGGAAAATCAATCGGGATGAATTAATTTGTTATGACTTAAGAACTTGGCGGTTCTATGATTATCCGACTAATGTTGGAATACTAGTCGGGAGATTAATATAAATAAATGATGGGATTAATCCTAAGAGGTAGGACTGAAAATGAGTATGCCTTAAGTAGTCTTAAGAGATACTTTAAGGTTGGATTATATGAACACTAAGGTGTGATAGGGGTAGGTCTAAGACTACCCAAGGAAATTGATTCTAGGCATAGAATTTGCTTGAGAATTGGGTTTTGAAAATAATTAGAGTTGGACTCTAGGATGACATGGAAATGTAGTTGGGCCGAGCCCATGCCATGTAATATGATTTGCATGGAAACGTAGTTGGGCCGAGCCCTTGCCATGTATATGTGATCTATGTGGAAACGTAGTTGGGCCGAGCCCTTGCCACGAAGTTATGGTTGGTATGGAAACGTAGTTGGGCCGAGCCCTTGCCATACAAATTTTGATATGTTATATTGAGTTAGAGGGTTGTATAGAAATGTAGTTGGGCCGATCCCATGCTATACAATTGGGGCTCGATGGGACCCCACGGGGTTGACGTGACTCGCGGTCACGGGGGAATGGAAACGATGAATTCTAAATGAACATGGGCCTATGGGCCGACTACTTGACTTTATATAAAGTAAGTACAGTTAAAAGGAAAGGGGGTAACTGAGGGTTATGGCCTATAATATAATAGTACCCTAAGTTGAGGGTCTTGGAAATTAAAACGTTGATTATACTTAGTATAGTTGCTATTGTACTTGTCAAATATTTCCAAGTACTGACCTCCCCTTCACGGGGGAGGCCACCTCACAGTTTCAGGTAGAACTTGAGGGTTGCTGCCACCGTCCATTGCTTCGGGAAGATCCAAGGAAGAAGACGTGGTTCGTGCTTCTTTCGTTATGTTTTAAAAACAATTAAGTTAATGCTCATGGACACCATTTTATTATTAATTACTTGAGGGCTTGTATGCCTAGTTATGCCAAGTGTGGCTTAAACAATTGTATTAATGCTTCTGCTGTTTTAAATGCATGTTTTACATTATGTTTGTTTATGGATGTACTATGTGTGAATGATATTCATGACGCCTTGTATAGTATGGATGACTTGGACTGCGGTTGACTATTCGTATTGTACGGCGGGTTGTTGATGTGTCCGGCTAGGTCCGGGGCGTGACATTTCAAGTATACTCTGTAGGCTTTTGAGTTGGTAGAGTACCCATTAAAGATTCCTTCATTTGCTTTTGGATCAAGCTTCCCCCTAGCATCC